ATTTTTTGGCGAAGTACCACTGGTAGTGCAAAACTGAGGCATGTTTACAAATTTATCTTCAGCACCAGGTGGGGGCTTTCATGTGTGAATACACTATCACAGATCTAACACCACTGCCACCATTTTCATATCACCTGAAGTGTTTTCAGGACTCAGTTCACACACTCAGTTACTGTTCATCGAGTGACACACCCACATTAGTGTTCAAAACTCCCATTGTTCTGGGCGCATTTTGTGACAGGACATTTCATTAGCGCGAGCCTAAGATTTCAGATTAAAATGGCAGAGTGGAAGGAAAGGAGGACTTTTTTCTGCCTCCTCACTTCCAGCTACTCTCTGAAGACTGGAGAAGAGACTGTCTTAAGAATATTAGGGGGGTGAGCAGAGGAAGGACTAGACCATGTGAAAAATGAACATAATATTTTAGCTGCAGTTCATTTTCAGCTTTGTATTATTGTTATAAAAAAATGCACCTAGACATTCCGTTGTTGCGCCCATAACCTAGGTTGAAGGTGCCATTTAGCTCCTAGTTTTCATATATCAGTCAATGGGAAAGTGCCCTTGGCTTACTTTTCTGGACTATGTATGACCAACGTAGAAAAATATTTCCCTGAGTATGGTGGCATTTGTTTCTGTGGAAGGGACCTGTGTAAACAAATGTTATATCAGGGGGAACTCTAAAGAGCTTTTTTCCTTCGGAAAGTCCAATTGTCTTGCTTTCTGTCATCAAGCATTGTGATACTTTTTACACTGGATATCAAAATATCTGAAACATCATTAAAAAAAAGAGAAAGACTGTAAATAAGATATGGAATTTACTGGGAACAAAACAACATCGTTGCTTCCCAGACTCTGATTTTCCTTGTAATTGGGTATGTGTTGCCTGGGCAATGTCAGAGAAAATATAAATCCTCTGCCATAAAAGCAGCAGCATTTTGCCCTCCAGCTCCGCAACTGACAATCTTTGTGTACAATTAAAACGAGCTGTTGTAAGACAAGGAGGGGGAAGCCTGTCTATAAGGGTGGACTTGCACAGCCAGTATGGAGGTATCTAACCAAAGCACTTCTTTCTGTTCCGGTGCATAAGCTCTGTGCAGTGATGAGTGAGTTTATTCCAAGACCTACTAGTTGCTGGTCTGACACACCTTCTTCTGTTCTCTGTGCTCTAGAGAAACACTAGGTTCTAAACTAGGACCCATTTTTAATGGGTATGACTGCATGTTCAGGTTCAACATCAGGAGCTGGCATCATTGGCATAGCTGTCAACTTACAGATTTGAAAATAAGGGACCAGCAGCCTTGGGAAAAAAAGGGACCATCAGCCAAAATAAGGGACCTGCAGCCTCACCTGTTCCAGGCATTCCAGTCTTCCTGTCCTCCTGCAGTCTGGTCAAATTCATGCTGGTAGCTTCGAGAACACTGTCCAACCAACTTTGTAACCAGAGGTTCAACTGAATAGAATCTGAATCACATGCACCACAAGGCCTATGCAGCCACAACTTAAGATGCCTCCCCGGCCTGCCTTTGCACTGCAAAGTTTGCAGCAGCATGTGCAACAAAATGGCGCCCAGCATTCAAAAAACCCCTCAGCTTGCATTAACTAGCCACACAAACGGCATGCAAGCTCCACCCCCCAGTCTTTCTTAGACTTCTTATTGGGTGAGCAACACAGCCAAGCAACACAGTTGGAGCCTCCCTCCTCCCTGGCCAGCAGGGAGGGAGGGAGAGGAGCTGCTTCCTTTGAAATTTAAGGGACATCATTTAAGGGACATTTAAGGGACATCCATCAATAAGGGACAGCAGCGGGACATGGCGCTGGAATAAGGGACTGTCCCTTCAAATAAGGGACACTTGACAGCTATGATCATTGGACACCTGACAAGGTTTCCCCCTTTAAACTAGTAAAAGCTTTGCAACTAAGAATGTGAACAAGGAAATTCATGGTTTGATTCCTATTTGTCATGAGTCTACTGTGGGGGTTTTTGAAAGTCCAAATTTCCTCACATTTAGCCTTCCCTCTGTAATGTGCAGGATACTGAAATCATTTACAAGGCTGCTGTAAGGATTACTGAGATAGTACCTGCTCTTTTAAATGCTTGAAATGTGCTGGATAAGCACATTATAAATTGCAACGATTGGGAATTTTAAATAGCTATGCAATAAGGGAATTCTTAATTATTTCATTATATTGAATGGGCCTTTCACTTTTCAACATTGTTATGTGGAAACTGATTTAGGTTCATACGGCTATAGATGTCTCAGAGGTAGCCAGGAAAATCTGAGCAACGTTCTAATGTAAACGGCTTATCCCAGCAAGGCTCATTCACAGCAACAAAATTATGCAGAAAACAGAAAGTAATGAGCTCATTTTGTGATGAGTCAATTCAGGAATTTTTGATGTTTACATACTTTCAAATTATGATATCATTCATGCCACTGCTTGATACAGGACACAGGATATTTACATCTAAATATCAAACGCACCCCAGCTGAAATGGATTACAAACAGGGAGGAAATGGGCTGGACAAAGGTGGGAGAACTTCCTTGATATGAATATCAAGTTTAAGCTCCTACTGACACAGGACTGCCTGGTCACAGGATGGAAAGTGATGCACGTGTACACGCAATGTGTTTTCTTTAATGAATGAAGGCTATAAAAGTCATATCCTGGACCACTGTTTTTCCCATATTGCCTGAAAGCTTTTCATGCTATTTTCTAATCTGGAGCTGGGGAGTTTTTTTGGTTTTTTTTAAAGTTCCCCCTGTCATAATGATTTCAGCAACTACTTATACAGCTCATATACTGCACTGCCCCTCTTGATTTGCCTAGGGTGCCACATTAACTGTTCCAGCGCATTGCAGAGGCTTGCAGCGTGGTGGCTAAAGCAGAGAGCGATCAGGCAGCACATCTGTTTATGCTTTCCAGACTTTATCTTCATAAGCATTTCCGGATTCATTTTAAATTTAAGCTACATGGGCATAGGAAATCACGATAAAGACAAATCAGTTCCATAAGGAGCAGTCCCTGTATACATACATGTGAGTGTGGATGGAAGACATCTCATTCCAGTAATTTATCCCAAGGCACCTGCAGACAGGTATATAGGAGAACACGGTTCCCTACGGAACAAGGTGGGACCATGCCAGAATCGTTGCAGAATGCACCTGGAAACTCACCTCCAGTTCAGATGGTTTGCTTGTAAAAATGCTTAGCCATACACTGGGTGCCGGTATTATCCCTGACCCCAAATATAATAGTAATATTATTTTGGAATCCCCAAATAACACAGCAAAAGGCCAATAGCAGCAGTCTCAAGTAATATTTTTACTGTAGAAACCATCGCTTCAAAGGTTTGGCCAGAACGCGACAAGAAAAAGGGAGCATACATACCTAAACAAATCTGTGCCCCAGGGAAGAGGCTGTAGATTCCTCCTACTTTAGTAAAAGAGTCATTTACTAGCTTGTTATCCATGATATGTGCTGCCTGGGGCCTCTATAACGGAAAAACCCTGCGCCACAAATGAGATGACGGCTCCACCCCCTTATTAGTTTTCAGCCTTGCCATCAAACATCCCCAGGCAAGCTCATTATCATTATTACTGGCTGCTGTAGATGGCAGGAAGTTATTCTTTATGATGAAAAGCACCTCAGTACAATGTATGGATTGAGGCATTCAGCACACTGTCTTCCCAGAACAGTTGTTTCAGTTCAGGAAGCCCGATTAGGTGGAAGGTTAAGTATTAATACCTTCTGCTTCTTGTGATATTTTATGGAAAACAGTTATGGGGAATTAAAAGGTCAGGAAACAGTGCCATTTATTTAAGAAACAATAAAACAATCCCTTCTGCAGAGAAGTAGCATTTCCTCTTATGTCTGACATCCTACATATGCTTGTTTGGAGATACCTATATAGAAGTTTATTTCAGGAGAGTCCCAATTTATACTTTATATTTTACTTTCTTCTGTACTGTTTTATTCTGGATGGCTTTATTTGATATTTTAATGTAGCTTTCTTTGAGCTTTGTTTCCTTAAAATATAAAGCAGTATAGAAATGAGATATAATGAAGTATAATCAGCCGTACCAACAGGCTAAAAAATAGCTTCTATCCACGGGCTGTTAGGCTGTTGAACGAAAAATAACATAGCGAAATTGACTTGCGAGGTGGTGTGTTGTTTGATAAGAGATTGAGTGTTGGGGGGGAGGCTTGTTTAATTTCATTGCACACAGGTTGTACAATGACAATAAAGATATTATTATTATTATGAAGTTAGTAATAATAATAATTGCTTTGAACAGAAAAAAATGAGAATTTTATTTTTGGTATCAAGATTGTGTTGCAAAGCCATATTTTAGTGCACTTCTTATATAGCCTATTGAACTTCATGAACCCAAATAGTAGTTTAATGGCGAGAAAATGGAAATAGGTACTTGGAAATAATGGTCTTCTTAAGGCAAGGTGAGTGATGAAAGTTTCCTTCTCCTGGCCATGTAGACAGACTCCAAATGCGTACCCCTGCATTTGGAGTCTGCATTTTTATTTGTAAGGATCTCTGAGTATCTTTGCAATTATATACAGTGGTACCTTGGGTTACAGATGTTTCAGGTTACAGACGCTTCAGGTTACAGACTCCACTAACCCAGAAACAGTACCTCAGGTTAAGAACTTTGCTTTAGGATGAGAACAGAAATCACACGGCGGCTGCACGGCAGGCCCCATTAGCTAAAGTGGTACCTCAGGTTAAGAACAGTTTCAGGTTAAGAACGGACCTCCAGAATGAATTAAGTTCTTAACCCGAGGTACCACTGCATATATATTAGAAAAGCTCTTCACTCATGTGCCAACAGTGTAAACTCTGGTGACTCCCAATTTGTCAAATGTTCCTGCATTTGGCTAAAATCAGAGCTGTTTAACAAAGAAGCTGCATGCATAAAACCTGACAGAGCTATCGAGTGAGTAGAAAATGTCTTTTTAAAGCAAAGACGACCAGTCTCCGTCATTTAAATACGTTTGTTGTAAATATCTTTATTATTCTCCCACTGTAAAGTCTGTTACATATGCACCTAATAAAAATGAGCATCTGTCCCAGGAGGTTGCACTGTACATGACTTGAAATTTCATTTCAAGACAACTTATGAGAAAATCAATTTGGTATGTTGGGTTACATAAATTAGTGATGACAGGTTTTTGTGCATAAAACATTTATGAGAGGGCTAGGAGATCATGATACACAAACTTTTAAGAATAATTTTTGATATCATATTCTGCTCTTTACTGGGAACCATGTGTTCACATGCCACTTTTTATTTATTTCTATTTCAGTCCATGATATATTGCTGTCCTGGCAGCAAGTTTCCTAATAAAGGGGTTCATATGCTTGTCTGTAAAAGGTGGTTCCTCGTTTGCAGAGAGTCTTCTATTGCCATTTGTATGAAAGGAGAAAATAAAATTTTATATGCATAAAGAGCAAAAATATTGGCAAAGTTAGAAATTGATCTACCCCGTCTTCATGTTTTATAGGCTTTGGTTTCATAAACAAAAGTATCTATTTGCAGCCCACTGTAGCGTCTGTGACGCTAACATGGTTGTGAAACCACATTGCTGTTTGGCTTTACATCTGTGTGATGCTCATTCACATATCTTTGGACAGACTGAGTGTAGGGCTTAGATGTCCTTTGCCACTTCAACGTTGAAGGTTCTTGCATTTTTTTTAAAAAAAGTAAGCATGAAGTGGGAAGTATTTATTGCTCGGTTTGCTAGATGAAGTCCAAAGATTCTGGTGTTGTTTACTTACTCTGAAATTTGTAGTTTTCAGGCGGACAGATCTTGTTCTGTGTGATTGAATCTGTGGGGATGGGAAATGAAGGATATTATTTAGAGCAGACCAACAGATTTGCATAGAAGCAGACACTAAATTGGGAGATCTATTTGCACACCGAATGGGAGAATCACCTTTCAGCCTGGATGTTGAACCCACCTGGCCTAGTAGGTTCAAGACTGAGCTAAAAGGAGATCCTGCATTCAGATAACTGTAGGATTCCTCAGTCTGAATATTCTTTTATACACACTGAGAAGAAAGTGGAACAGTGTAAGGCCCACTCATAATTTCCATGCACATAAATGCGTAGGGATAGGTAGGCTCAGTAATGCAGCTAGACTGGTAAGTTAAAGGTAAAGGTACCCCTGACCATTAGGTACAGTCGCAGACGACTCTGGGGTTGCGCGCTCATCTCACTCTATAGGCCAAGGGAGTTGGCGTTTGTCCGAAGACAGCTTCCGGGACATGTGGCCAGCCTGACTAAGCCGCTTCTGGCGAACCGGAGCAGCACACGGAAATGGCGTTTACCTTCCCGCCAGAGTGGTACCTATTTATCACTTGCACTTTGACATGCTTTCGAACGGCTAGGTGGGCAGGAGCTGGGACCAAACAACGGGAGTTCAACCCATTGTGGGGATTCGAACCACCAACCTTCTGATCGGCAAGCCCTAGGCTCTGTGGTTTAGACCACAGCACCACCTGTGTCCCAACTAGACTGGTAAAAAAGGTAAAGGTAAAGGTACCCCTGCCCGTACGGGCCAGTCTTGACAGACTCTAGGGTTGTGCGCCCATCTCACTCAAGAGGCCGGGGGCCAGCGCTGTCCGGAGACACTTCCGGGTCACGTGGCCAGCGTGACATCGCTGCTCTGGTGAGCCAGAGCCGCACACGGAAACGCCGTTTACCTTCCCGCTAGTAAGCGGTCCCTATTTATCTACTTGCACCCGGGAGTGCTTTCGAACTGCTAGGTTGGCAGGCGCTGGGACCGAACAACGGGAGCGCACCCCGCCGCGGAGATTCGAACCGCCGACCTTTCGATCGGCAAGCTCTAGGCGCTGAGGCTCCCTAGACTGGTAGGCAGTTCAAATAGCAGCAGTTGGGTCACACAGTCAGTTTTTCCTAAGTGCCAGCAGGCATGGCTTCTTCTTTGCCACACACACATGTGTGATCAGATGGGGAAATGTCGTTGTGGGCTGAAGTGTTATGTGGATATAGTCAGAGGAATTTTTATGCACAAAGAAAATGGAAGGTGTTTGACTATGGATATTGAAATAAGAAAAGCAATATCTATGCACTGTCAAGTTCACACATTCACATTTTCCTTAAATTATGGAGGACCTGTGTGCGATTGATGAGCAGGGATCATCATTTCTTGTGCATAGGAAGAACTAGTTTTGTGAGACATCTCTATGTGTGTATTGTATACTGGCATGTTAACATGGGAGTGGATGATGTGCAGATTTGCTTACGTTTAAGTGCACGCACAGCTATGGTTTTATGTTAAAAAGTAATAATCAGATCACTTACCTAGAATCCATTTTTCGGATAAACACTGTATGTCCATATTATTTCTAACCCTGTATTCTCCGATGCAGATTTTAGCCTGACGGGGAGTTTTGCACACTTTCCCCCCACAAAGCTGTACCAGCTCACATAGTTTCTTATAGGGTGGTTGACTAGCAGGAGATATGAACATTGCAGGATGATTTGAAAAGAGTTTCTGGTGAACTTCTCTATTTGGAAGGTAGCGCTGAAATCTGCAGATCTGTTTGAAGAGAAAAAAGGAACTATTCTGATGCACTCTTTAGAAATTGAATTTTGCGCATAACAGCTCACGTGCACATGAAGTCTACCAATGCAGAGTCTTAGAGTTAAAGCTAACCGAGATATAAGTGTGATAGTTATATACCAAAGTCTCATACCTAAGACTCGAAGACATCCATAGGACATTGATAGAGGGCTCTATAATTTTTAGAAAACAACGTCAGGACAACATTGATATTAATCAACCCATTTTTTAAAAAAATATTTTACACACAGCGATTTTTATTTAAATGAACCAAAATGCCCTCTTTGTAAAATAAATAAATAAATAAATAAGTACAATATGTGTTTGCTCAGGAGTATATTCCCCTGCACTTGATGAATTTTACCCCCAGGTAAGATAGGATTGTGGCCGTACAGAACATTCCTAAGTGAAGCGGAGGCTGGAGAGTTAAGCAGCGAATGATCTACCACTTTCCCAAAAACCTGCTTTAGGCTGGTTAGTTAAGGGATCCAGTCTAGGAAAGTGCTGGGGGAGGAGGGTGGGCTTTGGATAAACTGAATCCCAGGCCAACAGATTTAGTGTGGCATGAAAGGTGAATTCTGTTAGCTATTTGTGATAAAATAGATACCTTACACAAGACTTGAAGATAAATCTTTACTTGTCAGGTTGGCAACAGTTGAGCAACAAGTATTCTTCATTCATATATATATATATATATATATATATATATATATATATATATATATATATAATGTGTGTGTGTGAATACAATGTGTTTCTATCCCTTGAGCTCAAGAGAGGGTTTAGTCATTTTTGTTTTCAAATCTCCATCACAACTGTGCACAAGTTATTAATCCACAGCTTGCCTCTCCTCACAAACCTCCAGGCAGTGTCAAAGTGACCACACTCCCAGGTTCTGAGTCAAAGAATCAACTAAGAGAATAACCAGCTGCCAACTTCCTCCCCAATACCACTTATTCTTTTTGAAATACAGTACATTTGCAATGCCAATACAACACAAATGCTAACAAATTCCTTAGGTGGATGGAGCTAATGTGTTAGTCGGGGGCAGCAAACTTTTTCAGCAGGGGGCCGGTCCACTGTCCCTCGGACCTTGGGCCGGACTATATTTTGAAAAAGAGGCAGAGAACCATGCATAATGCCCTGAGATACTATACTGGGAATACTTGTTAGTATATAAACCATGGTTAGTACCAGTGCACGTATTATAGTGAGCTACAGGCTGGGAAGGGAGTTGGAATTCATACCAGAGAGAGGATACAGAGAAGGCACATGAGTCTGATCTTGAAGCTGTGGTTAAGATATTGATAGAGTGATGTATGCACTAAATCTATTCCACCCTTTCAGGCATCAGCCATGCTGGCTTGGCCTAATCAGTTATGGCCTAATGAGCAGCCCAAAACTTCTGGAGGGCACCAAGTTGCCAAAGGGAGGTCTCTACAACGACTTTAACAAAAGTGAAAAATGTTTATTCGTGAAAATACAAAGTGACTTGGTTAAACGGTTAATGGGGTAGCCCTCCAGATGTTGTGATGGTTGGTGGCTGCCGGTGGTGTTGGGAGCTGAAGTTCAAAAACAACTGGAGAGTCACAGGTTTTCCAACCCCGAGTTAAACACTTAAGTTAACATAGACAACGTACACATTCTTTAAAATGCTAGAACCTCCTCAGGATAAATACAATTTATACACTTTTCAATTATTCGAAATAGCATTTCTCTGCCTTTAGAGACATTTAGGCTAATCAGCAAAATCCAAGAGAAATAAAACAATCTGCAAGAGACATTAATCTAGCTTTGCTTTATCTAAAATTAATAATCAAACCAGATTGTGCTAAAATTGTCCCATCGCTTTTGTGGCGCTAAAGCTTCTAACCTGAAGCTGATTGGAAGTGACAAGCTCTGTTTATGTTAAAAGCCAGCAAGAGCCAGAGTTTGTTAGAAAGAACATACACACAATGTAACTTGCTTTGTAATCCTGCCGTTTTACACATTTTGGAGGACATGATTTAAAGGGCCTGCTGTATTCCGGCTTGTTCAGCATTGTTCCTGAAAGCTTTTATTTGTTGTGGTCGTAACAAAAAGTCATTTTGTTTTCACAGTGGTTCCAGTGGTACTGGCAATGTACTCAAGTAGACAAGGAAATTGAACAAGGAAAAAGAAATGGCTTCTATTTTATGTTTCACAATAAAGATGTAAAATCAGGAAACGCCAGAGAGGAAAAGTTCTAAACCATGATGTCAAGGGCTGTTGTACATTTAAATACTTACATGCTGCACAGCTGGAATGGCTAGTGCTGAGATTATGAACAGAGCCTATGGAGCGAGTTGTCCATTTGAAACTGGAATTGGCAATCAGATTCTTTGAAAGAGACATAGCACTTCAGTTTCTACAGAAATTGTTCACACTTAAAAGCAATCAAAATGTATGCTTCCTTGCTCCATTAAATCAATGGAGCAGCAATCAAGTACCGTATTTTTCGCTCTATAAGACGCACTTCCCCCTCCTAAAAAGTAAGGGGAAATGTGTGTGCTTCTTATGGAGCGAATGTAGGCTGCGCAGCTATCCCTAAAGCCAGAAGAGCAAGAGGGATCGGTGTGCACCAATCCCTCTTGCTCTTCTGGCTTCAGGGATAGCCACGCAAAGCCTCTTGAGCGAAGAGGGAGCGCTCCTCCCTCTTCGCTCAGGAGGCTTTGCGTTGCTTGCTTGTTTTCCTCCTCTAAAAACTAGGTGCGTCTTATGGTCGGGTGCGTCTTATAGAGCGAAAAATACGGCTCTCTCTCTCTCTCTCTCTCTCTATATATATATATATATATATGAGTTTAGGATAGTGTTTTAAGCTACTTCCATTCTTCTAGCTGTGAGAACTCTCACACACATGTTAATGAATACCTGTAGGTCAGGGCATGAGGCTCCCTTTCCCATATTGCACCTACTATGAACACCTGAAAAGGTGACATCAACAAGAGTAGGTTTGCTAGGGTTGCCATATTAAAAAAATTGAAAATCCAGAAAAGAAAAGTTTCCTGTGTGGTGCCCTCCACCCATGTTCAAAAAAGCACATGCAAAATTAAATGCCCATGGAAGTTACTAGTCCACTTGCCCATACATACCTAAGTTTATAATTTTGAAAACCACCACCAACAACAACAACCCTCTTTCAACTTGTAACATCCCTGTCTGGTGGTCATTCCTATGTGCTATCAGCGACCAGGGAAGTAACTTGTGAAATAGCATCATTTTCAGTAGCATACCCACGGACTGAAAATTGGGTCAACTTTTTGTTTGTATGATATTCTATGTATGACACCCAAAATTATTATTGTGCATGTTTTACATGCATGACGAAGGCCAGCACAAATTACAAGAAAGACAGAAAGTAAGATGGGATACTTCAGAGACCTTCTCTGTGAGTTGCTTGCTTGACACTTTGACGTTTCCAATGCCCCATCAAACCATGTGATTTTTGCCAGTCTACCCTCCTCCTGCAACACTAACTCCAGAGTAGTGTTTCAGCCAGAACTTGCTGGGGTGGATGTAGGCAAAAATACTGAATCCTGGCAAAATGAAGGCTCTGGGGTGAGTGGTTCCCAGTTCCCTGGATAGGGTTGCGCTCTCCCCGAAGAAGCAAATGCGTAATGTGAGGGTGTATCTGGATTTAGCTCGGTTACTGAAGCCACAGGTATCCTTGGTGAGAAAGAGTGTCTTTTACCAACTTGGGTTGGTAAGACGTTCCCAAATGAGTCCAATACAAAAAGGCCCACCACTCATTTTAACAACCTTAAAGTATCACTGACTCCCCTTCTTCTCTTTCCATGGTTCATTTTGCATTGCATAAATCCCTGCATATTTTATATATACTAAACCATTCAGTATTCCATCAAAACTTATTTACACTGTAGAATTTATCTTAATGCTGCCCACGTTTTCGAATGTACACAATTTCCGCCCATATATTCAATAAACATTTTCCTATATTCTTTAAACAAATGTTCTTCTTGTTCTCTTATTCTATAAGTTAGATCTGCAAGCTGCACATATTCCATCAGTTTAAGTTGCCATTCTTCTTTGGTTGGGACCTCGCTCATTTTCCATTCTAGGGCTAACAAAACATGGGCCACCATAGTGGCATACATAAATAACCTTTTTTGACACCTGGGAATTTCCATCTGAGTTATCACCAATAAAAAGGACTCTGGTTTTTTGTTTTTGTTTTTGGAAAGGTGCTTTAAAACATTTTTTTCAATTCATTGAAATTGTAGCTCCACTACAAAAGCAACAGTAACAACTTTCTGTAACTATCCAATCACTGAACGTCACTTTCAATTCCTTATTTGCATATGCGGACTTGAGTGAAAACTATCTACAGTATCCCCCTGCTGGCCCAGGGTGAAAACTTCAGTACATAACAATACTCTTTTACCCTTTTACAGGTTCTTTCAAAAAGGCCCACCACTCTCTTGCACATCCAGATCATATTAAGTAACTCACATATTACAGTTCTAGAATGTAAAGCTGTGAGATTACTTCAGCATCCATTATAATACTTAATAAAGTCTTGAGTCATGGTGTATACAGGCTAAATTCACAAATAAGAAATTAAGGGAAGACAATAGTGTTGTTCCACCATTTGTCCATTCCCAGTTGAAAACTAATGTACTATATTAAGTGTATTTTCCCCTTAGTTATTGCCTCTCTTTGTTTGTATCATTCAAGTATGTTCCATGCCCTAGAAGAAAGGGGAGGGAGAGCAAACTAGATCACGGACAATTTAACTAAAATGTGCCTTTCCACTGCATGTTGCAAGATAAGCCTTAATACTCTCACACACTGATAAGAAAAGTTAATTTCGATAATTGTCTGAAATACAACCTTCCAGTGGGAACACTCTGCGAAAGTGTTTGGCAGATGAATCTATTGTCTGGCAAATTTTCAATTTCATATTGAAAATGTCTGAATCACTTTTTCCTGCATAGCAA